ATACCAGAACCTTGTTTTTACGTCTGAGTGGGCGGCCTCACAGGAAGTGACATCATAGAAAAATCAGGCATTCTGCAGTTTTGGGTGATGATGGTGGGAAGTGGGCGGATCCCGAGTTAAACTTTATTTAACTTTGAAGCGAGTGAGAACGATTGGCTGGTCACCAACCAGCATCTGTAAAACAACCACTACCACATACTACTTCCTGTGTGGGCGGATCTTTAGTCTCCAGGCTGTTGCTGTGAGTACTGACAGTTACTGTGTCCCAAAACCTAAGCTGCATCCTCCGGAGGACCGAGAAGGCCGGAAGTAAACAGCTGTGAAACTGGACGGTCTCGCCTTCAGATCTGCGTCAGCGCTGTCTCGGTGGAGTTTAATAAACTCGGCCGTCTGCTCCTTGCTGTCTAAAATGTAACAGGACACTGGAGTAAACTCGACCATCTGTTTAATCAGTTTTCTGTTTGACGTTTATTCAGCTGTGTGAAAACCACCCGGGGGATTAATAAAGTTTTATTTTATCTAATAACTTTAATCTGAACCAAACCGATTTACTCACGAACAAATAAAACAAAAAGCCAAACAATAACATTTTTAGGTTGTCTAATAGGGCTGCCACGATTAGTCGACTAGTCACGATTACGTCGACTATCAAAATCGTCGAAGCGTTGTTTGAAGCTTTGTAAGATCCCAAAAGACGCAGGAATAAGTAGCAGGATTTAAGAGTGTAATAACGGACTGAAACAGAAGATGGCAGCACTGCATGTACAAGGATGCCAGCTGCCGTTAAACCCCGAAGAAGAAGAAGAGCTGTGTCCCAGAATTCATAGCGCGCCCAGCTCAGTTTCCAACAATGGCGGCAGCTAGTTAGTTTTAATATTACTCTTATTATTCTTTCTGGGTCACAAAATAAACGTTTAACATATTTTCAGGCGAGAATGTAGCTGTGTAAACCTCAAATATCTGCTCAGTTTATCAGGACACCACATATTTTCAAAAGCGCTCCGACGTTTTCGGAGACGTCTGTTACCCACTAGCTCGATAGCTAGCCGGGGGCTAGGCTCACTAGCGCCGTGAGAACACCGGACTCCCGGCAAATCGTTTTCAAACCCACCGCCGTCTTTCGCTACTCAGGTTAAACATGATATATGAGTCACTTAGATAACTTAAAATGTTATTGTTTGGCTTTTTTAGTATTTTATTTGTTCCTGAGTAAATCGGTTTGGCTGAGATTAAAGTTATAGTTTTTACACAGCTGAATAAACGTCAAGCAGACAGCTGATTATCAGAAGTGTGAGATGCTGGAGAATTTACTCCGGTGTCCTGTTATATTTTAGATAGCAAGGAGTTTATTAAACTTCACCGAAACAATCTGCAAATTTCATTAAAATTTAATAAACTATCATCTTGTCTTTATTTTTAGTTAGCACCTGAAACACTTAAAGCTGTAAGCTAATGATAGTTATATAAGAGCAGATGCTGCTGGTGCAATAAGCTGTATGGATGATGATCTGATTAGTGACTAATCGCAAAAATAATCGCTGACTAGTCGACTATCATTGTCTAAGTAACTTATATATTACATTTAAACTGAGTAGCGAAAGACCGCGGTGGTCTGTAAATACTGTTATGTTTTCTTTATTTACTGTGCTAAGTTCCTTCCTTTTACTTTATATCTTATACTTTTACTACGGTTATTTATTACTGTGCTGCTTCTTGTTTTATTGCTGCTGTGAGCTACCAAACAAATTTTGTTGTATAACTACAATGACAATAAACTTCTTCTTTGTCTCTTTATCTTATCTGAAAACGATGTGCCGGGAGTTTGCCGTTCTCGCCCCGGCTCGCTGGTGGGTAACAGACGTCTCCGAAAACGTCGAAGCACTTTTGCAAATATGCGGTGTCTTGATAAACCGAGCAGATATTTGAGGTTTACACAGCTACATTCTCGCCTGAAAATATGTTAAAAGTTTATTTTGTGACCCAGAAAGAATAATAAGAGTAATATTAAAACTTAGTTGCGGTAAAGGACATACCCGACCCATCCTTCAAATTCGGGGAAATGGAGGAGGCATTTTGGGATATATTTGGAGGAGTCTACGCCGCGTTGCTGTGATGTAATCGGCCTACAAATGCGGCCTCAGGAGGATGCAGCCTAGGTTGTGGGACACAGCTAGTGAATGCATGAAAGATTTTCTTCTGCTCTGATCATTAAACCTGCAGGAATGTTTCGCCGCCGCGCTCACACACGTTTGCTTTGCGTTTAACTCTGCCTGTGTCGCACCGTTCAGGAACAGGATCGGAACGTCGGGATCACAGAGCAGGACCAAAGCCTCGTCGCCCTCTAAGGTGACGGACGTGCGGCAGCTGCTGGAGGAGAAGCGGCAGGGCCACTCTCAGCACAGCCAGCCCCCTCCGGTGGTCAGCGGCGGGAAGACAGGTGAGCGGTTTAAATCCAGGTGCTTGCTGTGCTGCCGTGAGGCGGGCCTCTGACTCTGACGCTCTCCGCAGACGTACGGCAGCGGCTCGGGAAAAGACGCTACTCTCCAGACAGACGCCGCTCCCCCTCGCCGCTGTCCCCGAGAGACACTCCCCTAGCCAGAGATGTGCATCGCAGACTGGGCGTGGCCAGTCAGGACAGCAGAGGCCACTGCTCAAACTCATCCACAGACAGGAAGACGGGTACGGAGGCGACGCCAACCTCTGTCGTCTTCTTTCTTTGCTGTGTGGCGTTTGTAACGCTCTCTCTCGTCTGCAGGCGGGCTGTGGAGCAGACTCGGCTCCAGCGACGACGATGGCAGCAGCGCTGCCGCCAGACGTCACGACAGGTCAAGCGGCCGCTCGGCGGGGCTGTTCTCCTCTTCCTCATCGGGCCGGGATGGCGGTGGCAGCAGTAGAAGCGAGAGGAGGCATGGTGACGGAGAGGGGGACAAGGAGGAGGAGGATGACAGGCGCGGGGACGAGGAGGACGACTCGACGCTGCAGAGGATGTGGGGCGCCATGATCAAACAGAAGCAGGAGCGTCTCACCCACAAGATGAAGAAGAGTCGGCTGGACAACCTGCCCTCGCTGCAGATCGAGATCAGCCGCGACAGCAGCGACGAGTCCGACGCCTGAACCACACGAGGAGGAGGGGGCGGAGCAGTATTTCCTCTGATGGACGACCCGGGTGAGTTGGGGAACGGGGCCGGGCGGCGAGCTTCTCCCTTTGAAAACAACTGAAATAATGACTCGTAAATATCAACAGAAACATTTCATAAAACTTCTCCAGGGAGCCGCAGTCCACCTCGACTGCTCCCTGAAGCTCCGCCCACCTTTAATTTCAACTTCCTGCGGTGTGCGCCCTCCTCACTTCCTGTCTGAAAGCGAGGTGAAGTTGCAAATTGTCACTTTATCATCCAGATCAGTGACAGTTGTTTGGGGGCGTGGCCTCTAATCACCTGCTGCAGGTGAGGCAGAATAGAGCCAAAGGAAGCGATCCGTCCCCTGAAGTCGTATCGCCCAGTACTGAGGGGTCAGTCGGGTTGTGAGGTCATTTCCTGCCTCGGCGTTCCGGAGTTTGTTCACTCGGCTGTGGATCTGAGGACATTTCGGAGGAAGTCCTGCGAAGTTCGCTGCTAATTATGAGCAGAGGGCGAAGCTTTGGTTCCCGCGGCCTCCTCTCCTCCTGCCTGTGGTGTTCTGTCAGGATGTGGCAAAGCATCATGGGAAACTCTCCGCTCACCTGCTGCTGCTCTTCTTGTCACCATTCTCGCTCGCCACCATTCCTCAGCTTTTCCCCGTCTGACTGCAGCTCAGACAGTGAAGTGACTCCGCCTCCAGCGTGTGGTGTAGGCGTGGTGTTAGCGCTGGCAGGACTGGGGCGTCCGCTGTGGGACATTTTCCTACTTTTTGTCTCTTTATTATTATTTTTTTCTTCTAAACACCTTGTTGATGACCCGGATGTGTGTGCGAGTGCGAGTCCATCGACTGTTCCTGTGACGTCACATGATGTGTTGTTTTTAAATGAAACCTTTGGGTCCACGTGCAGGTGACACCACACTGCTGCTCCTGAGATGAGATCATTATTAAAGTACCGGCTGATGTTTTATTCCACACGTGTCGAGTCTTCTTCCTGTAACCCTGACCACAGATACCTGCACAACACAGGTGTGCTTTTCAGGCGGGTGTTCCAACAACCAGGGAGGGGTTGTGAGCTCATTGAGGCGTGGCCTCTGCGCTGGACGCAGACACACAGATGCTCAGTAACAGCCAAATATAAAACCATCTTCCTCAGACGTGTTGGTGCGATTAACCTCAGCAGCCATATTATCAGGCTCCAGGTCAGAATTGTGCGTCACCATCCACCTGTCAGCTAAAGAAGCCACACCCCTCCATAATGCAAATTTTAATCCTTAATTTAAACAGTTGAGTTATTTTAAAAAGTCTGCAGACGTGTGTGTTTCTCGCTGTTGGAGCTGCTGCCTGGATAAATGCGATGCTTCTGTCAGGTGTACGACTCGAACACGTGACCCTCAGAGAGGATCCTGTTCACAGGAAAAAAACGAAAACATTGCAAATTAAAATGACAAATGTCCAGCAGAAAACACTTCAGCTCACAGTTGTGTCAAAGTGCTTTATAATGTCAGGTAAAGACCCCTATGAGCTGTCACTGTAGCGACAGCCGGATGGAAAAACCTCTGGCAGAAGTTGGACGATGGGACAAAGACGTGCTGCGGAAGAGAGCCAGAGATTAATAATTACTAACGATTAAATGCAGAAAGGTGTATTACCACACCAAGAAATACTCAGTGCATCATGGGAATCTCCAGCAGTGCAGTACCTGTAATACCTACAGCATGTTCTAATCGCTCTAATAGGATATTATGGTCGACAGTATCGAACGCTGCACTGAGGTCTAGCAGGACAAGCACAGAGATGAGTCCACTGTCAGAGGCCATAAGAAGATCATTTGTAACCTTCACTAAAGCTGTTTCTGTGCTGTGGAGCTCTGAAACCTGACTGAAACTCTTCAAATAAACCTCTCTGCAGATGATCTGTTAGCTGTTTGACAACTACTCTTTCAAGGACGTTTGATATGATTGAATTTGATGAAGTTAAGGTAAGGCCGGCTCAGCAGCGCTCTGGCTGCGGCGCCGACAGACCACAGTGATCTTTTCAGCAGATTCAGATGAGCCTGAACAGTGAGCTCAGTTTCATAGTCGTTACTATGCAAACTGTCATGAGCGCTGAACAATGACCATGAGTAGCATGCAGAGAGTTGGGAACCCTCAGCTCAGCCTTTCCCTTTTCATGTGTTCTCAACGCCTCATTGAAACTTACAGGACGTCTGGGTGAAACACACGTTCTGGCCTGATGAGGTAGCTCTTTGGTGTTGGTTACGCCTCTTAACTCTTAGGAATCATTCAAGCATGAAAAAGTCACCTAACTGCAGAGATGAACCAGTGCTGCGTCTGCATATAACAAATAACCTGTCTGTTCCTGCAGGCATTACACACAGCTGCTCACAGTTCAAACTGGTGACGTTGACTTATAAGTTTGTTATAATTGTGTAAACTCTGTTTTCTCCTGATGTACTTGTCTGTACGTAGTTCCCATGTTTATGAGGGATGGCACACACTTTTTAAGACTTTTGCAAAGACACAGATCGATCAAAATGTAGAATTAAAATTGTTTGAATTGATTAAATTTAGTTTTTAAATATACATATCTATATATATATTTATTTATTGGTGTTACGATATGCGAACATAGTTTCTAATGAGTAACGTGTTTATATGTGAGTAGTGCTGCGGCCTGGTCGTTGAGTAAGAGCTGTTGCAATCATTTTTCGTTATGTAATCGGGATTGACGGTACTCCACTGTGATTGGCTCATTTGTGTGGCCGTTATTTTCCCCAACTAATCGCAAAGAAAACCCAGGTTAAGGCGGGCTGAAACCAGCCAATGACACTGCACTGACATCACGACTGTTATAAAAACCTCAACGTGACGTAGACTTCCTTCAGTTACAGTCGCCATTTTCTTGTGGTCGTTGAAAGGGCACTGAACTGCGACAGAAGACGGCTGAAATATACCCCCGAACCGGCGTGATTTCTCAACAAGTCCGGGACGAACAGTTAGCCGTATGAGTTCATGGACTGCCTGCTGATCAGTGGTTATGGTTTCGGTAAGACTCGCTTAGGTTTGGCCGAGTGTCTCAGCTCAAAGATGGACGACAGCGCGGCGAGGGAAGACGCCTGCCGGGAGTACCAGTCCTCCCTCGAAGACCTGACGTTTAACAGCAAGCCGCACATCAACATGCTGACCATCCTGGCCGAGGAAAACATCAACTTCGCCAAGGATATCGTGGAAATTATTGAAGCACAAATAAGCAAGGTTTTTATGAATATAGAATACTTTCACACTGAGATGTTTGCTGTCGATGTATGTAGTTAGCTGCTAGCCGAACATGGCGACGAGGTCGGCCGCGGTAACGGTCTCTGAAAACATCCAGCTGTTTGTTCTGCTAGCTCCGCATTCAGCCAACTCTTGAACAACTGTGTGTATTAAAGTGAACCGACCATTTATTCTTTATTGTACTCAGCAGCACGCCATTTCTCTGCAGACTCGCTGTAGGTACTCGATGTGGTCTGGAGTTGAAATCCACCTTAAATCAGCCCACCTTAAATCAGTCCGTCTTTACCGTTCGCTCTGCGTTTTCCTCTTTAATGTGGAGTAAACGTCAGTAGACGTGAGTAGAAAAGAAGGCGGCACTTTAGCGGGACGTTAACTTTGGTTCAGCTTGTTGCCATGGTAGTTTGTTTAAACCAACTTTATTTAAACAACTGCAGCGACAGAATACTTTCTGACACGTGGGAAGGGCCGAAATCTGCACGAGGCTGCTTTAAAACCTAGATTAAAGTTCAGGCTGATGATTATTTCTTAAAATTAAAAAATACTAAATTCACAAAATGGATGTTTTTGAAAGTCTTGTTTCTCCGGGTTATTAACACAAAGGATGAGGCCACATAGAGCTGGGGAAGTAAATCTGAGTCACTTTCCTGAACAGGGGAAATCACCGCGCTGTTATTTCTGGCCTCAGTCGGACAGTAGCTCTACTGAACTCCCGGTCATGTCTCAGTTTGTGCCCTGCTGGTCTCAGGCTGATGCTCTGAAGTGTCTGAAGTGGTCTAAACTTTGTTTAATAAAGAAACAGTAAAAACCTTGAATTGGCCTAAACTCCTCACATCAGGTTCAGCAGTTTGACTTTAAACCAAGGACAGATTTCATAGAAGTGCCTGACGTGTTGAAGTGTCGCCCGCTGATGTCTGTAAATGAATAAATAACTGCTGTGCTGATGGTGTCACAGTTCTCCTTTAGAAGTCTGAGGTGTGCACGTGTTGAACAAAGCTTTGGTAAACAGTCAAACTTCCCTCTGCAGCACTTGAGCTTTCAATCAGCGTTAAGCTCGTCACATTGATCTGATTGAGGATTAGCGGCTCGAGTTTTTGGTGGATTTTGACCATCTGTAGTCCTGCTGAGCTCAGACCACATCAGTGTCTCTGAATGGTTTCAGTCTGATCTGTTGTGTGTTATCAGTGTCGGGTCATTGATTAACGGGGCGTCTTCAACACCCCCTCCGCCCGCCATCACGTTACACTCAGCTTCTGGTCCATGACACTTGATTTAATTCTCGAGTGAATCTTGAATTCTTGAAAAATGTGATTTGAATGGTTAAAATGTTTATAATAAAAAATGTGAAATGTGCTTTTTGTCATTTTTTATTTCCCAGTGTAATTTCTTGGCATGACTCTGGTTTCATTTACTGCACACACTGAGGGAGGGGATTAAAGATGTCGGGTGTCAAAGTGGAGGTGTGAGGGGGAATAAAGCTCACTGGGGGTGGAGTCACCTCGAAGACGAGCCTTCTGGGTAAACGTACAAAGAGCGGTGGAAGGTTACAAACGCTCTTTGGAGGTAAACGGCTCCTGGACTGAAGCCTGGCGGCGCCACGGACTCATTTTGTAACTCGGCAGACGCTGAGTGGACTCGTGAAGATGACTTTTCCTTTTTCTCCTGTGAAGACGCAGCAGCGCACGGACTGACTGGGACTGAGATGTTTTCCTGCAGTTCTTGACCTTTTGAACTTTTTCCACGTTTTTGGGTGCTGAGGGGCGGGGCAGGTGTACTGTGAGCTTTTATTCTGAAATGTTGCTTTTAACCCCTGTTTGTTTTCTAAACTTGTCGAGTTCTCTTATTGCTCCAGGCCCCACCCAGCGAGAAGCTTCCAGTTTTGTACTTAGTGGATTCCATAGTGAAGAATGTTGGAGGAGAATACCTTGCAGTGTTTGCTAAAAACCTAATCCCTTCATTTATATGTGTCTTTGAAAAGGTACAGTTCTCTTTGCTGCCGTTTGGCCTTGTTAAGATTTAAGCAGTGACATGTTAGCAGCCCTCGCACTCCCTCCTGTTTGTCCTGTTGCTTGCTTTCTTCTGTTTAGTCTCCTGCACTCTGCTCCTGTCTTACTGCGTAACGTACTGCTAATGAAAGCTGGAGGGAGGCTTTAGGACTTTAGCTGATGTTTTGAAGTGGACTAACAGCTGTGCACAGTGTGATGTCGGCTTTTTGTTGGTGGCTGTGGACCAAGCGCTGTCCTCTGTTTGTAGGTGGACGAAAACACTAGAAAGTCCCTGTTCAAGCTGCGCTCCACCTGGGACGACGTGTTCCCGCCCAAGAAGCTGTACGCGCTTGACGTGAAGGTCAACTCTGTGGACCCAGCGTGGCCCATCAAGCTGCCGCCGCCCACCCCCAACTCCAGCATCCACGTCAACCCCAAGTTCCTCAAACAGGTGTGTACGAGCGGGGGCGTGAGCCTCGGGCAGCCTGAGGTCGCCCCGGCGCAGAGGTTTACTCCTGAGGTCCTCGTCGGGCTTCTCAATAAATGCGTCTGTGCCCTTGAAATGTCGATAAAGAAGATGTCGTGAAACGTGCAGGTACACCCCCGAGGATTGTTCACATGTCAATAAGTTATTGTTACAGTAACTACCACAAACAATGTTTCCTTTTAAGAGTCTTTAAAAGGTCCAGAGAGCTTCAGCGTGGGAGGTTTTTGTTTTTAGTTTTTCTGCTGTAATATCTTCAAATAAAGATGTGCTGAGGAGAATAAAGGAGACCCGGCAGAACTGTGTTTAATACTTACCACTATTTTGTTTTTTGTTTGTTTTGTTTTTTTACATTTGCTCTTATGAGCGTTGAGTTTCTGTGCCTGATCTGAGGTTTTGGTTGTGCTTGGTTACGTTGTGAAGCTGCTTTCAGATCTGCTGTCGAGCTCAAGTCAGATAAAGTAGAAAAGTGAAGCTGGGAGCAGAAATTGGTTTGTTTGGCTCAGAAATGACAGAATTTGATAATTTTTAACCAACTAAGTGACGTTTAGAGCCGAGCAGACGTCATGCTTTTATTAAACTGACTGGTGTCAGACTGGGTTAACCTGTCAGGACATCCATGCAGAGTGAACCTGATAAACTGGTTCAAACCAGTGTTAACCACTGTCACGTGGCTGCATGCAGGTTTGGTTAGTTTGATCACTGGAAATGTTTTTAAAGAGGTTTTCCATAAATATGACCGGGTCAAGTGTCACGTCCACGTGCTCCTTACCTGTGTCCGGGTCAGGCTCCAGGGTTGGACCCCAGTGACCCTCCCTGGTCTCTGACCACACACAGCATCATCCACATTGAGCGATGGGATTTGGTGGGGCTGAACTTGAGTTCTAATCCGAAGTTATCTTTCTCTCCGTCTTTCAGCCTGAGGAGTCTTCATCCTCTCCCAGGCCAACCCCGGCCCAGCCACCGCCCACGGCCCCACCCGCCCCTCAGCCGGTCCCTGCCGCCATCAGTCAGTCCAGCCTGACACAGGAGCAGCTAATCCGGCAGCAGCTGCTGGCCAAACAGAAGCAGCTCCTGGAGCTCCAGCAGAAGAAGATCGAACTGGAGCTGGAGCAGACCAAAGCTCAGCTGGTACGACCACCTGGGGCTGTAAGATCACCGTTAGCCAATCACGTGTCCGCATCACAATCCAGGGGTTCAGACTTTAGCTAAAACCAGAACATTGTCTGAGCGCTGTCATGGCCGTTCACTGCTTTTAAAACCCTGAAACACCCCGAATGTGTTAAAGCCTTCAGCTCCAGTTCAGATCAAACTACAAACCAGTTTGATCTGAACTGGGACGCTGCTAGTTCCCATTTAAAGGGTAAAAATGACAGGAAGAAGCAGCAGAGTCTTAAATCTTTTGTTTTGGCTCAAAGCTCACCTGTCACTTGTCCGAAGGTTTAGAGCAGCGGTCCCACACCCGTGAGAGTCGAGGCTCGGGTGTGACATTTATGGTTTTCAGGGTTTTTGTCGTTAACGCGGTTTCCTCGGGTCTTTTCCCATGTGTTATGACTTGTTGTGGGGTTTTTGTTGTTTTTGTTTTGTACTGGTTTTACTTTCCTGTATTTATCCGCGACACCTTAAAGCGGAGTTTATCTGCCGTCAGGTTTGTTGTGTAGAAACTTGCACATATTTAACAGGCAGCTCTGTCACATGGTTACAGGTCAGCGGCTTCACATTACCAGCAGCGACGGCGATCTCCACTTCATCAGCAGTGAGCCCGGCGCCCAAGCTCATCAGCCAACCCGCTCCCGTGGTCCGACCCTGGGTACCCCCTCAGAGCGATTCAAAGTCGTCCGTCAGAGACCCCCGGCTGAACCGCCCGCCCACTGGCCCCCTACCTAAAGACCAGCCTGCCACAACAAAAAGAGAGACTCCACCCACCACAGGAAGTCACATTCTCGCTCTGGAGAAAGCCAGGATGCAGAAGAAAGACGCTCCACAGGAGAAACCAAAATCCAAATCGCCGTCTCCAATGGCGAAGAGTGGGCCGAGTAAAACCAAAGCAGCGGAGGCAGCGCTTCAGAGCGGCACGAAGAAAGACCCGCGGCTGAGGAAACGCACGCAGGACAAGGTGGGCGAGGGCAAGGACGGTGAGCAGAAGGAGAAGAAGCGATGTGGTGATGAGGAGCGGGAGGATGCTGCACGGGGGGCAGAGCCTCAGAGGTTCAAAGGCAAACTGGTGAATGGTTCGGTCGCCAAACACGAGCGTGACAAGGCTGCTGATAAGACCGCTGGCAACGCCAGAACGCATGCAAGGAAACGCACTCGCTCGCGGTCTAGGTCGCGATCCCCCGCCGGCTCCCCAAAGAGGAAGGACAGACGCTCGCCAAAGGGCAGAGCCCGCAGCAGCTCGTCCTCGCCATCACCTTTGCACAAAGCTGGAAAACCACGGAGGCTCGACCTGCTGCACGGCAAGCCCGGTCGGGAGGACCGTCCCACCCCCAAAAGCCAATCTGAGAGCAGAAGGTCCAAGAGACCCGGGGAGGAACGCCACTCCGAGACCAGAGACTCTCACTCGCCACGCAGCCACGACGGAGGCTGCAAGGAGATGAAGGACGCCCCTCACCGCTGGAGGAGCGGCTGGGAGGAGAGTAAACAGTGAGTTCATCAAACGCATCAGAAATATTATTCAAAAGTTTTAAAACTTTAAAAAACTTAAATCGTTTTCCTCCTCAGCATGAAGCTGTCGGGCGACGTGCACGCCAAGCCCACGCCTCAGAGACACAAACCGTACAGCACGCCAAACCGCCCCAGCACCCCCCGAACCCCGAAGCACCGGCTCAGCGTCGACGCCAACCTGCAGATCCCCGATGTCCTGAACTCCGCCTCCAAGAAGGACCTGCTGAGGAGGGTACGTTCACTGACCCGCTCACATGCAGGATAAAGCTGTTTCAATGGTTTTCACTTGTTATGATCAGTGGGGGGGGGGTTACCATGTCACTAAATATCATGTGACTATGACATGTCTGCAGGCGAGCAAGCGCATGGAGAGTGGCGAGATCTCCCGCGAGGAGTTCCTCAATATGGCTCACCAGATCAAACAGCTGTACCAGTATCAGGAGGAGATCCAGCTGCGCAAAGACAGCTGGGACGAATCAGACTTCCCCGTCAAGAAGCAGCCGCCACTGCTGAGCACTCCCTCATCTCAGCCCCGCCCCCACGAAGGCATGGACCCGGCGGAGCTGTCGTACTACGAGCACAAGTCGAAGCTGAGGAAGACTCAGGTCAATCACCGACCTGCCGGAGAGGAGTGGGAGGGGGAGGAGACTCCCGAGATCACCGACAAACCAGGGCACAGCGAGAAGATGGGTGGCGGTCAGAGCGGCGGACATCCGCCGCCACATAAATACAACCGAGGCCCGCGAGACAGGCCAGGTGAGCGTCACATGATCAATAAATTAGCCAGAGAACAGAGCTTTATTACTTAAACAAAAACACATCTGCTGCCCTTTTCAGGCGAGAGGCGGAGCAAAGAGTGCGAGGAGCATCGGGCGCCGCTCGCCCCCATGGTTGAGGAGTACAACCACGGCAAAGAGTTTCCAGCGCTGAAGCCAGGTCTTCGCTTCACAAAGAGACCCGACCACAGAGAGACAAGTGAGTGCACGCCGCCACCATGCTGCGCTGCGTTCACGTGTTCAAGTGGCGTGAAGGTTACCTGTTATCTGTCGTCTTTATCCACAGAGAGGTCAGAGGTCAGGTTCTGGAGCGGCGGGGTGTCAGGGTGTCGATCAGGGATACTTCAGCAGGGTTAGACATTTCTAACGAGTCCTACACATTCAGTCAGGAGCCCCGATTACATCATCAGCTAACCGCTAATTAGACACTCCCTGTCACCGCCAGCCTTTCAAGGCATTGTGGGAGTCGTAGTCGGCCACCTCTGCAGTTCTGTAGTGTCACCCTCACATTCAGACAGATGAAGCTCAAACTGTAATTTATCAGCTGACAGGAAGCGGCAGCGTTCACAGCATTTCTTCTTCTGTGGTTTCCAGGTGAGAGAGAGTGGACCTCGCCGCTGACAGAGCGGCAGCATTATAACGACCGCGAGGAGCAAAAGAGCAGCTACAATGTCCCACGGCGGTACGGCCCACCTGCTGACGCCCGCAGGCCGGAGGTGCCCCCTCCCTCGGGCACAGTGGTCCACAGGAACTCTCCGAGCCCAGCTGGTCTGGACGCCACGGCGACACGCTTCGAGCGCGAACGGCTATCACCGTTACAGAAAGACTCTGCTGACATGAGCCCGATAGCGCGCTTTGAGAGCCCAAACAGCGAGCACTCAGATGACGGGCCCCTGGATGCCCCGCCGCCTCATGCTTCAACCAAATCCATCCTGAAGGCGCCACTCCCCCGTGGAGGGCCGCAATCTTCGGTCCGACAGCACGGCGGGTCACCCGGACACACACCACCTCACGACGGGGGACACCCCCCTGCACGCTACAATGGCCCCGGTCATATGGGCTCTTCTAGGCCCCACGCCCCAGGATGGTATGAAGGCGGCGGTGGCCCTGGGCGGTTCGATGACTCACTGCAGTGTGAGGGGCCTCACCACCCAGCCCCCGGCAGGTTCGAGGGTGCCGGACCAACTCATCACACAATGGCGGAGAGGGTGGACGGTCCCGGACACATCAGTCACGGCCCGATGAGAGGCGGAGAACGAATAGGGCGGTTTGAGGGCCCCCCTCAGGGGCCCGGCAGGTTCGGGGCTCCTCTCGCACTACAGACACGATTTGAGGTGCCGGCACCGGGCCACTCAGAGGGCCCGCTGCAGCGCTTCGAGGCACCACGTCACTTAAACAATATGGGTCCCGGCCCTGGATCCGCCCCCATGGGCTTCCAGCAGCGGCCCGCACGCTTCGAGGGCCCCACGAGGTTTGATGGCCCTGGACACTTCGAGGGGCCGGGCCAACCGGGCCCCCGGTATGACGTGCCACATCAGGGAGGCCCCCCGCACTTCGAGCACTTCCCCGGGCAGGGCCACCTGCGCTTCGAACCCCAACACAACCTGCAGCCCCTCATGAGACAGATGGGCCCGCCCATGTACGAAACCCCCATGGCCCCCCAGCAGAACTTCCCCATGCCCCCCCAGCGTTTCCCGGACCCCATCAATCCTCAGTTCCCTGCGGCACCAGCGGCGTTCCCGGCGCAACAGAACATGCAGCAAGCCGGAAACTTCCATGTGCAGCCGTTCAGTCAGCCAGGACCCGCCCCCTTCTACAACCCCGGGGCACCCGCTGTTGGCTTACAGCAGCCGGTAAGCAACGCACAGGACATCACAGGATCTAGACCAATAAGAACAGAGGTAGTTTCAGACAGGTTTCAATCAGAGCTGCCTCAGTTCAGTCCAGTGTCAAATTCAGAGCAACTGGAGCTCCACCCACAGCTGAGCAGCTGTGACTGTAGTTTGAGGCAGAGCGGCAGCATTATGAGGCATCAGTTAAGTCAGAGTTGATGTGATACATGGAGACGCAGCTAAAAGAGCCGTTATTGGCCTGCTAACAGCATGCTAGCATGCTAATCCTGTATAATCGCAGTGCCTGAGTCTCCTCATGCGATACATGCACCTGAGTTTTATTTAGAAAAAATGAAAACTTTAAAACATACATCTATCGCTGAGGCACAGCCAGCCTATGTTGCTAACTTCTGCAACTACTCCAGGTCAGTTGGAGCGAATGGAGTTCTTCCATATAAAACAGCCAATCAGGTAGGCCCAGCAGGCATGCAGCAAGCAGCACAGATGGACTGCAAGTGTTACTGTTCTGCATGGTCACAAGTTTCTGGACCTTTGACCTCTGTGATGATTAATTTTCCTTTTAATTGTTTTTCTTTTTTTAAAGAGAATTTAAAAAAAACAAAACTACATTTAAAGGTATCAGGCTGTGCAGAGGGCGGAGTTAATGCTACAGAGCGTGCTGTTGCGCCGCTTCAGGACATTTATCATTAAATTAGCCCCACTACTGCCAGAAGGTGGCAGCAGACGCTGCTGAGCAAACAAGTGAAGGTGTCAGGTAGGAGTGAGGTGCAGAAATGGCAGGAAGATGTGCAGTTGATCCTCTGAGCTGGTGGCTCTGATTGGTGCAGAGGCCACGTTGTTGAGCAGGGCGAGTTCCTGGGGAATGATCTGAGTGTTTGTACCTGTGCTGTTTTCAGGTGAGCGTGATGGGAGCCATGGCCCAGCCCTTCCTACCTCAGACCGCCGTGCCTTTCGGACAGCAGAGTAAGTTTGCGTGGCGTTTGTGTCGGTCAGCTTTAACGCTCTCGAGTTTAAGGTCAGAAATCGTGACTGGTTGTTGGTATTTGCGTAGATCCGCAGGTCGTCCCTCCGGAGAACCACTTCGGTCAGGTGGACGTGAACGACCTGCTGTCCAAGCTCCTCTCCACCGGCATCATCAAACCCTCGCAGCCCGACGCCGCGCCCGCCTCCAGCAGCGGTCAGTGAAGCCCCTCCCTCTGTCGCCTTTAACCTTCTTCTTCAGTCGAGTTTGATGTGTTTGTTTTTTTCCAGAATCGTCTTCTGTACCTCCGCCGGCACCGCCACCAGAGGAGGAGGAGGAAGAGGAGGAGCAGGAGGTGGAGGGTGAGGGCGAGGGCGAGGAAGAGGACGACGTGCTGGACCTCACCAGCTTCAGCATCGACGATATGAAACAGTGAGTATTTGCCTGTCCTCATCGTCGTGGTTACACTTTGTTCTGCTGTGACTCACTTTGCCCCGCCCCTCTCGCAGGCGCTACGAGAGCGTGGTGACGAAGCTGTACTCAGGGAACCAGTGCTGCCTGTGCAGCATGCGCTTCACCGCCGCCCAGACCGACATGTACGCTGACCACCTGGACTGGCACTTCAGGCAGAACCACGCCGGCAAAGTGGCGAGCAAGAAGGTCACGCACCGCCGCTGGTACTACAGCCTCACGGTGAGAACGAACACGCCTCATGGGGCGCGGCGCCTAGCTCCCTGTGGAGCGCTCTGATGTAACGATACGTTTGTCGTGCAGGACTGGATCGAGTTCGAGGAGATCGCCGACCTGGAGGAGCGCGCCAAGAGCCAGTTCTTCGAGAAGGAGAACGAGGAGGAGGTGCAGAAGAGCCAGGCGGCTGCCAAGGAGAAGGAGTTCCAGAGCGTGAGAGCCACCAAGGACCAGGTGGGAGAGGTGAGTACGGCGGACGGCCAATCGACGGCCAACCTGCTTGTCGGTGACATCACAGGCTCGCCCAATAAAAATGCTTCCTTCCTCCCTGCAGAGCTGTGAGATCTGTCAGGAGCCCTTTGAGACGTACTGGGTGGAGGAGGAGGAGGACTGGTTCCTGAAGAACGCCGTCAAGGTCGATGACAAGGTGTGCCGAGGCTCCGCCCATCCACTTCTAATCAGTAAGATGACCAATAAGAACAAAGCGAGTGACCAGCTGTTTGTTTTCCCTCCACAGAACTTCCACCCCTCCTGCTTCGAGGATTATAAGAACGTAAGTCACACCTCCTCCCTCACCTCCTCCTCCCTTATCTCCTCCCTCACCTCCTCCTCCCTTATCTCCTCCTCCCTCACCTCCTCTTTCTTCTTCTCTGGTATAAACTCACATGTTTTTCTTTGCGCCGCTCTCATTTGTCTCCTCAGACATCGTCGTATGTCGACGTCACGCCGTCGCCCAGTAAGCTGCTGACCGACCACCCGCTGGGCGCCTTCGTGAAGACGGAAGAAAAGCAGGAGGAGGTCACTTCCTGTGCTGTTGCTGCCGCTGCTGCCGCCGCCACCGCCACCTCAGTGAAACAGGAGGTGCAGAATGAGAGCGGGGAGCCTCCTGAAGTGAAGACGGAGGCAGGTGAGGAGGCGGCGGCGGCGTTGTGAGGTGGCGGCGGTTTTTAGCTGCAGGGACTCGTCCTCTGCGTCTGTACTTGAATACATTTTTGTATTTGGACTCGCGGCCGCGCGGCTGCCTCAGTGAACCTGTACATGACCTAATTTATACATTAAAGTATTTTTGGTAACTCTGGTGTTACAGTGATTGAATCAGCTGTTACCCCTGTACATAGATTATTGATGATTGATTGGTTTATCGATGGGCCCTCGCAGGTGTTGAAGGTAAGCATCGTCTGAGCGGGAGGCGTCGTGGACTCGTCTACCGAGGAGCCCGCCCTCTTTGCGTTGTTTTTCTTTCTCTTTGGATCAATAAAAGCATCTGAAAGCTGTTTGTGTGAATACTGATTGATCTCATTGATCGTTAATTGCCTCAGTTTTACTGTCATTTGGGTTCCAAACATCAATAAAGGTTCAGTGGGTTCAAACATCCTGCTCTGGGTATTTATTCGTGTGTGTGTGTGTGTGTGTGTGTGTGTTAAAAGTTCATTTGAAGAGGAAGTGAAGCTGGTACTGAGCCGACAGTCAAAGAAGGATAAGAACTGAGTTCATCTCAGCTTAAATACACTTACCTGCCACTTGTAGTATCAGCCAATCACATGACGGGCTCATTTTGCAGCGCAGACACGAGGTCAGAGGTGAATGTACTGCACTCAGATGGCCTCCATAGACCAGTAGAGGAGCTTTACTGTCATGATGGCTACAACAGCATGTGTGATGATGTCAGATCAACATGGACCCTGACCTCCAGCAGCTCCTTGAATCCATGAAGGCTGAAAGCAGCTCCAGGCTGGTGATACTGAGGTGTACCTAGTGAAGTGTCAGCAGTGAAACAGGTTGCACTTTGACCTCTCAGGAAGCGTGAGGCTGTTTTCTGGGATCTGATTGGCCAAAAAGCTGCAGGTGAAGCTGACAGGGAGACGGAGATGAACCCTCTTCTTCTTTGGTCTCACTTGTATATTCAGCACTTTGGCGGAGTCTGCTTTCATTTCTGGTGTTCTGGTGACGCGTTATTTCGAGGTTACACTTCCTGTCAGCACTGATGTGACCGCTGGGCGAGCTGCACTTCCTCTGACTGACCTCAGAGTGGCGCTGTCACCCTGCAGAAGCAACTGGGCGCTGCCTTTTGATTTAAAAAATATATGTATATCCTGAGGTTTTTGAATTCGGAGCTCTCTGTGGGTCCGTGAACGCGGCACAGGCGGATATCTTCGTGCTCTCAGCAACTGCAGTTTGTGGAGTTGGAGTCGGAGGGTGGAGGAGTGCGGAGCAGACTGCGTGATTCTCTCTGTCCGGATCGATCACAGCTGATCAGATGGGATCGATGTGTTAGAGGTGCGTGGCGTTCACTTTCAGCTGATTTTAGTTGTTTGTGAAACTTTCGGGGTTTAAACCGAGCGGGTGGGAAACCGAACAGCTGTGTGACCTCTGACCCTTTTAAACAAACGTTAAAGTTCTCGCGGGAAGCAGCATGTGATTGCTGAAGCGGCAAAGTATCGATAGATCAGCGATGGGGTCACGTGCTGCTGTGTTTAAAACGCGGCGAAAAAGACTAGCTCAGCTGAGAGAGATGAGCACCGGGCCGTGAACGCCTCCTCCTTAATCAAACTCAGCTTTGTGCGTAAAACGATCAGATCAATAATCCCAGTCCTCACGGGAGAAGCACAAACCAGGCTTCACCTAAAACAGCCTCGTGTGCTCCGTTTTAGCTGCCAAACCACAGCCAGATAAATCTTCTAAAAGTGGCCGAAATTTGAATGGAGTCTGGTCTGATTGTATTTGAGCAGATGTGTATTATTATATATAGTATTATATAATAATGAATGTGTGGGAAACCAGCCCTCAGTGTGTCTGTACAGTGTTTTTGTTTGATGAAAATGGAACCAGAAAGTAAGAAGTTCACTTGAATAAACGCAGTCCTAAATTAGCCAAATTGTCAGTTTCCCACTCAGTGCTGTTCTCCTAAAATACAAAGATTGGGAGTTTCAGAATAAAATCTAACGTGAACAAAGATTGAATGAAGTCTGGTGTTGTTTGCGAAGTGTGTGTTCACAGGCACTGTGGTGCTGTTTGACGAGACAATGTCAGCTTTCAGAACATTTCATTGTGGTGCAGCTGATTGGCTGAGGGACTGATTATCTGCATGAACAGGTGTTTCCCGAAAGCGCTCGTGTCTTCGGACCCCGGGACAGCAGCTGCTGGAGACTCGTTAGTTTACAGATCGATCCATGATGAACATGCACCATCCACTCACCTGTCAGCGGCTCATACTCAACCACGCGTTTCAGTTTTTATTCTGAAAGGCTTCTTCTGCTTCCTCCTCAGATATGGCGTGTGTGTGTGTGTGGCTGGCAGGTGTGTGTCTGCTGAGCATGCGTGTTGAGGCTCATCATGGATTGGATAGAAGCAGTGACTACGCCCACCCGGAACAGCATCATCATCATGTGGTGTCCACCAGCGACACAACCTCAGGTATGAAGCACTCTTATGTTCATGTGTATATGAATGATTATTTAACTGTTTACAAAACAAACCTTTATTTTTTAAACAAACCGGGGATCCTGATTACTTTTCAAATTAAAAGACTTCCTGTACCATCTTAGGATGCTGTAGATTACATTCATTTTAAATTAAAGTGGCTCAAAATACTGTTATTAATTATGCTAGAAGTCATCGTGATGGCAGAAAAATCCTGAATCATTCCCAGTCCGTTATAATTAGCTTGCTAACTACTTGTTAATCATGTTAGCCGTTATCATAGAGAGTAAATGTTAGTTGTACATCTTTGCTGGAGAAAATTAACATTGTTTGATGATTTTAATACAAGTAACATCATGGTGAGGTTAGATAGCTAGCTGTTAGATTGCTATTCCACTTAAAACTCGTAGCTGACCATACTAGAGATTTTGGATGAATTAGCCTACCTTACCTTGGGCAGGAATAGCTCAGTAGGTAGAGTGGTAGCCCCATGATCGGAAGGTCGGGGGTTCGATTCCCCTGAACAGCTACCCTGAGGTACCCCTGAGCAAGGTACCGTCCCTACACACTGCTCCCCGGGCGCCCAATGGCTGCCCACTGCTTCACTGAGTGAATGGGTTAAATGCAGAGAGGGATTTTCCCCACGGGGACCAATAAAGTGCACTTTCTTTCTTTCTTATCTACTCAGGACAGTACGTTTATTACATCAGGTAGCTTTTAACCCTTGTAATGTCCTCTGGATTCCCATACACCTGGGGTCATTTGACCTGAGGACAACACAAAGGTTAATATGACTGGGTTAGCAAGCATGCTAGTGTAGCTAACATTAGCTAGAATAAAGATGGCTAATAATCCGTCCATGAGTCGACTCCTGTCCTAACTAACCAGGGCTTCATTAAATAACACCTGTTTTTTTCCAAGTCATACTAACTAATGCTAGCTTACTGGCTAATGCGAGAAAATTGCTTGATACCCAGCAAGGTTACCTTTGCTGCTACATTGCTACCTGTTTTGCTAAGGTTAGTTCAAAATGCTAACTGAACCCAAATCAGTTTTTTTGTGCTTACATGACCTGAAACTCATGAGGTGTTTCCTGAGCTCAAGGCTATTGGCTCATGGACTTCCAATCAAGACTTCTCTTTTAGGGTCACCCCCTTGCTGGACATTAGAAAGCTTGCAGACACTGAAAAACTGGCTTCAATTTTCAGATGTGAAAGCTACGTCCATCTTTTATAAGCAGTCTGGACCTGCCCCTCTGCAGGTTTTCAGGATCAGGCCAATCATAAGAATGTGGGCTTTTAAGGAGGGGTGCCTTAAAGAGACGGGAGCTAAAGCAGCCAGTTTCAGACAGCAGATCTACAGATCTGAGAACAGGCCTGGTAACAAGCAGAATAAGCCCCCTCCATTTAAACAACTGCTTGTGGAGTTTGACGTGTCAGTGGTTGAGGTTTTCTCCGAGGGTCATGTCTAGTCTGACCAGAGGACAAACGATGATCTGCTGCTCGCTCTTCCGTTGGTCATGTAAAGCAGCGGCGTTCTGTCATCGTAGTATGAGATGTCTTCATCAAGCATTGGCAGTTATTCAGAGCCGTCTCCGGCATGCTGAGACAAGCCAGCACGCTGCAGTCAGTGTTTCAGGACAACACGAAGAGGCGAGAGTTATTTCACGGGCTGACAGAGGTGACGTGACGCTCAGCTATTGTTGCCAAAGACGGCGGCACTTCCTGTGTGCGGTCAGCGTGTTTGTGGGTGTTCTTCATAGGAACCAAACAGCAAGACGGTGCGTGCGTGCGTGCGTGCGTTGCCTCAGAGCTGTGCAGCACTGATAGCGTGGGAGCTAGCCGTTGGCAGCTCACCACAGCTTCCTGAAAATGACAAGCTAACAGTGTCAAAGGAAGCAGGGTGACAGATAGGCTCCGCCCACAGCCTGATCGCGGACAGGAAGTAGAGATGGTGAGGATGGAGGAGAACGTGCTCCGGTCCTATGAGAAAACTGAGAGCCTGAAGGTGTTTCAGCTCCACAGGCAGTGATGGTGGTAATAAGGCAGCTGTTACACTTAATGCGTTTGCAGAAGCTGTGCAGGATGCATGATGGGAAGTGTAGTGACTGTGTAACTTTGACTCGACCTCCATCCTCATTATTCCCAGTCATCCGAGTATTTCCGTCCTCACAGCTGCTCGTCTTAAGCCTCAGACACCGGCGCTCTTCACCTCATCCCGGTCTTCTTCTGTGGTGTCACTGCTAATGACAGAAAACCTGAGCTTGTGTGTCTGTGTGTGTGTCTGTGCGTGTCTGTGTGCGTGTCTGTGTGCGTGTGTGTGTCCTCACAAGTGACTGTTGGTTCTCACAAGTATAGTAAAATGCAGATTTCGGTCCTCACAAAGATGAGGGGACACACACACACTGACACACACTGAAACACACTGAAACTGACACACACTGACACACACTGAAACACACTCACACACACACACACACACTCACACACACACACACACACACACACACACACACACACACACACACTGACACACACACTGACACACAACTGACACACACACACACAGACACAGACACACACACACACACACACACACACACACACACACACACACACACACACACACACACTCTCGGAGGCTGAAATGACCAAATGCAGTCATGAACTTTTCACTGCTGTCATGTTTGGTGACGATCAGACGCTAGCTGCTAGCAGAGGCTAACAGGAAGTGAGTGTGGCACTTTCAGTTGCTCCCTACTTCCTCGTAGTCGTCGTTCATGTGAACATGAGTTGTTGTGTGATGTTGTTTGGTGGAAACAGAAAGAATAATGAATCACAGACGGAGATGAAACAGCCACAGAGCCTGAAACTGTTACAGAAAGACTGAAAGTAGATTTAAAGGCAGACCTAAAATAACTTCCTGCGGGACATGTCTCCGTTCTGTGACCCAAACAAAGATGGCAGGTGTGAGCGATGAGTGTTTACTCTTCGTGCAGCTGTCTCTGGCTGCGTGTGGCGTGGTCACTCTAGAGCTGAACTGAAACCAGGACAGGAAGTCACACGTGGATGATACCTGAGCAGCAGGAGGTCAGTCAGAGACGTTGTGTGCCTGCAAAGATGGAGGGAAACGTTTTTACAGGCTCATTTTAATAAAGTGTCACTCGATGTTGTGTTTGGCCCCCGGTGACCTCTGACCACCGCAACAGCACGCACGGTGGGCGGGGATTGTCCCGGCTGTGACTCAGTGACGGATGTTTCCTCTCGTAGATCTGTGCGCGATAGACCAGCAGCTCTGCGAGGACGAGAACTCTCTGCTGAGCTTCGAGGCGATCCGCAGCATCCACAAGCTGATGGACGACGACGCCGACGGCACGGTGGACGCGACCGAGACGGACGAGGTGAGACACGAGGCTCCGAAAGCTTCACGCGTGCACGCGGGCTCAGACTCTAACCGTGAGCTGCTCTCAGTTTCTCAGGGAGGATCTGAAGGATCACAACCCCAAAGCCAAACACAGCAGCTTCCACCGAGCCGACGCCCACATCAGCGTGGAGGACATGTGGAACGCCTGGAAGGGCTCCGAAGGTGGGTGTGAGCGAGGGAGCACCATCACCTCCCCTCCAACCAGGCTCGAGCACACGCGCACACCAGCACACGCGCCAGTTAAAGATGTGCGGTGTACTTCCCTGTCTGACCCCATCAAAATAAAAGCTGCAGTTAAAATCAGCAGGTGTGAAGGCAGAAAGGAAACGATGAGGGGAAAAATGCTGCCTCGACTTCCTGCTCAGTTTGTCAGCAACAAAAACACAACGTTTGTCAAACTCTATTTTTGGAGGAGAGGCTGGAGTTAAAGCCGCCATCACTCGGCGACGCTGACAGTTTCCTGTTTGTTTACACATGCCGGCTGCTTCAGGTGTGTTTACTGTGTTTTCAGTCTACAACTGGACGGTGCAGCAGGTGGAGGACTGGCTTGCCAGCGTCGAGCTGCCTCAGTACAGCGAAAGCTTCAGGAGACACCAGCTGGACGGCCAAGCGCTGCCCAGGTAACCACGACGATCTTTATTTAACACAGACGCTCGCCGTGAGTCAGCAGTAACACGGAGACACTGATCCTGACCCGTCCTCAGCTGCGAGGTCACAAAGTTCAGCACGTTTTAGCGTAAACATTCAGAGCGCGATGTGTGTGTCTGCTGTGTGTTTCCACTTCCTGCAGGTTGGCGGTGAAGAACGCGACCCTGACCGTGTCCGTGCTGAAGATTTTAGACCGGAGTCACGCTCAGAAGCTGCAGCTCAAAGCTCTCGACATCGTGCTGTTCGGGCCGCCGCCAGGTGTGTGTGCAGCAACGTGTGCATGTGCGCGTGTTTCTGCGCATGCTGCTGGTGTGTAATGTCTGTGTGTCTGCAGGCCAGCAGAGCCGCTGGAAGGACCTGGTGCTGGGTCTGTCCATCCTGATGGCGCTTGGCGGCTGCTGGTTCGCCTACGCCCAGACCCGGAAGTCCAGAGACGACCTGGGGAAGCTGGTGAAGGACCTGGAGAGCCTGCAGAGGGCGGAGCAAAGCCTGCTCGACCTGCAGGAGAAGTACGTCCTCCAGCACCACGCCCACACTCAGCTGATGGTCTATAGACTGTATATAAAAGATGGTAGCAGGCAACATTAGCATTTTAGCCACCATGTTGTGTTCTGGGGGGGGTTTGTGACAAGAGGGTGGAGTTACAGACTGTACGCAGGTACCTGCTGACCTGTAACATCCAATTAAAATCCTTCCTCTAAACCAGGGGTGTCCAACTGCAGGCCTCGGGGGCCGGTGTCCTGAAGGTTTTAGATCTCACCCTGGGTCAGCACTCCTGAATCACATGATTAGTTCGTTACCAGGCCTCTGGAGAACGTCAAGACATGTTTTCATTTAGCCCTTTAAATCAGCTGTGTTGGATCAAGGACACATCTGAACCCTGCAGGACACCGGCCCTCGAGGCCTGCAGTTGGACACCCCTGCTCTAAACCGTTAACTGAACAGCAGCCACGTTATGGGTTTATTTGACAGCACAAAGACGGCCCAGAGGACCAGAGGTGAACTAGCACGCAGCTAGCAGCTGCAGCCTGTCATCAAACAGGCCACACCCCCAGCAGTGGCTCTGTGTTTTGGCAGGTTGTTTAAAAAAGTCCAGAGAAAAAACAGAGCAGCTCGTTTTATTATAACTGTGACAGCACAAGGAAGCAACCTGTGTGTGTGTGTGTGTGTGTGTGTGTGTGTGTGTGTGTGTGTGTGTGTGTGTGTGTGGACAGCCTCTGCAGAGGTGTTCTGTCTGAAGTCCTTTTATGGGCATGAGTGCCCAGGAGCTCACTCTGCGCACACACACACACACACACGCTGTAACAGCGATCACATTGCAGATCAAAGTGATAGCGTTGCCATGGCAGCAAGCAGTTATCTTGATAGTAATCGTGTGTTTGTTTTATAAAGTCAGCTGCTCTCCACACGCTGCAGACTCCAGCTGTTCCTTATAAAGCTCCAGATGTTTGCAGGTCTGGACCTTCTTCACGAGACAGACGAGCTTCCTGTGTGGATGCAGCGATGCGTTCGCTGGCCGTGGTTCTCGGTGACGTTGCTCCTGCTCACTGTGTGCTCTCACTAGTCTCACTAGTGGACGACTCGCACAGTCTCTCATAGAGCCGGGGGGGCTGTGAAGCACAGCCAACCCCACGCCCTCCAACATGCAGCTGCTCCTCCTTGATCCTGGTTCTGCTGTTCATGTTAAAGAGGAGTTCTTCCTCCCCCCTGTCTCTGATTGCTTCTCAGAAGGGGCTTCAGAGCACACTCACACTGTCATTATCCTCACTGCTCCTGTGTGAGCTTATACCAGGAGTTAAAACACACACAGCTGTTATTACTGCTGTTGCTACTTTTACACACTCAGCTGATCTGCTGGGATCAATTGAAGCATCGGCTCTGTTTCCTGTCTGAAATCCCCCAGCTGCTGTCTGTTTGTCCTACTCCCAAATAGCCCCCCCACACACACACACAACAACACACACACACACACACACACACACACACACACACACACACACACGTCTCCTCAGGTGGAAGAACAGCGCCTCCTGCTGCCATCAGTGATAACTGAAGGCCAGCAGCTTCTTTGTGTTGCTGCGCTGGCATGCTGAAGTCATCAGTCACATGACAGGAAGTCAAGCTTCTTAATTGTGAACATTTTCCAGATTCTATTTTTTTTTATGACTAAACAGTAAAATGAGTAAGAAATTCCACAGGTTAATCATCAATAAAAGTCAATAAGGAAATGGGTCGGTTAGGAAATAGTAGAGTAGGAATAAAAACAGTTTCATTCTAAAAGTTTAGCGCTCTGACCCTGCTGACCTCACTTCCTGTGCTAACAGGAAATGCTGATCTCCTTCATAACGACGTGGCTGTGGGGCCGTGAGGAGAGTCAGATGTGAGCTTCAGCAAATCTGCGACATGCAGACATGAAGTTTCAGTTTCTTCAGTTTTTATTTGGGATTTTTGCCATTTCTGTGAGGGACCATCAAAGTTACCCTTCATCAGAGCCTCTGCTCCAGCTCCTCACAGCTGCAGGCTGCCCTCAGTTTGTGGGCTCGACACACTGAGAACATCATCAAAGTCCAACTTCTTCCACTGATCCAGGAGCAGTTTGGTGACAGCCTGTGAGTTTTCCAATCTGCTGGAGCTCCTGTCCCACAGCATAGCCACAAGTATCATTATTATTAAATTAATGTTTTGCAAACTCCCAGATCTGAATCTGATCCAGAACGTGTTGTCGTTGCATGAGAAGCCAGCTAACCTCAGCTGAGCCTTTCAGGTTGGCGTGTTTTGACGATTCTTAAACATCATTCGAACGCTCATCTCCGTAAATGTCTTTGACTCTGTGGAAATGGGACACGGGTGGAAAGTGGTGAAGCTGTTTTAACCCGACGTGTTGCTGCTCTCGTTGTTTTTTCATGGCAGGCTGCAGCAGGCTCAAGAGGAGCAGCGCTGCGTCCAGGTGGAGAAGGTGAAGGTGGAGGAGGAGCTGAGGAACGAGATCAACTCGGCCAAGGAGGAAGCTCTGCGGCTTCGTGAGCTGCGAGAGGGAAACAAGAACGAGCGGAGCCGGCAGAAATATGCCGAGGAGGAGCTGGAGCAGGTGGGGCCGTTTAAAACACCGCCCGTCCGTCCCTCCATCAATTCATCGGCTCATCTTTGTTCTGTGTTCACCGCAGGTCCGCAAGGTGCTGAAAAAGGCAGAGCGGGAGCTGGAGTCACGAGCCCACTGGACCCCGCCGGAGGCGCTGCAGAAGTGGCTGCAGCTGACGCACGAAATCGAAGTTCAGTATTACAACATCAAGAAACAGAGCGCTGAGCGGCAGCTGCTACAGGCCAGAGAGGGGGTGAGTGAAGCAAAGATAATTGGCTTAAATTTAACGTTTCTCTGATGGACGTCTCTCAGGGACACTTTCTGCTGTGGAAAATGGCCAAAAAGCAACTTTCCAGAAAGCAAAAACCATCCCTGAGCCCCTTCAAGGTCGTCTCCAGGACCTCTGGAGCTGCTTCTACTTTCAGATCTGTCTGGAAGACCTGCTCTGATGTCCTGCAAACATCAAATTCTTAGTCAGCAAGTGTCCAAACCTGACAAACCTGTTGGTGTCCTCTGGGTCATTCATGGTGAGTTCATCAGTCAGGGAGAGACGGGGACATCCTGATGCATGAGGGAAACGGTCAAGCCCACTGATGCCTTTCAAGAAAAGCTGGAGCTGACTCGTCCAAATTTCGTTTTATACAGAAACAGGGCCTGAGCAGAAACACAGGACTTTAATAAGTCTGAAAGTGGATATTTACGAGTGTAATACAAACCAAAATTTTGTATCATGTTTGGTTTAGACGCACTATGAGAGCTGAAAGCGGAAGTCGTCCAGGCTCTTTAGTCTGGTTTGACAGTGTGTTTCCTGCAGCAAAATCCTTCATTATCCTCAAATACTTCCTGGAAAATAGTTATAGTTAATTAGTTATTAGTTAAAAATAGTTGGGGGCTTATCCGGGATTGAACCAACAGTTTACAACATGCATTTAGCTTTCTTTCCTAAACGGGAGCTGAGGTGACTACTGTGGAAGTCCTGACTGATAAAGAGTTGATGTCAAATATTCAAGCTGAGGGTCACTGTTGAGACTCTGGAAGAGGTCAGAGCGGGACTTCCATGGGGAGATGGCCTTGAACGCACCTCACACATGATACAGGAACCATATCGGGATCCTCATCATTTCTACATTTTGTCATTTTGATGTTATCCTGACTGTGAGACAAACAAGCTAAAGCACACATGATGAAGACGCTGTCATGAGATTTGAGCTAAGATTTATAGATTTGTAGGAGCAGCACAGTAAACTGCACAGAATCGATATATTCTGATATTGGTTTACCATTACGGTGAGAAAAAACACACACTAACATTGATGATGATGATGAGGCTGGTGTTTCAGGCAGAGAAGATCAAGAAGAAGAGGAGTTCTCTGTTCGGCACGTTTCACGTGGCTCACAGCTCCTCGCTGGATGACGTCGATCACAAGATCCTCTCTGCCAAGTGAGTAAGCGCAAAGCCTGCAGTTCCTCTGATGTCCAGCGGAGGCAGCAGTGAGTCGGTGCTCATAGACTCCCATGTTAAACTTTACAGCAGAAACAAACATGCTTGCAGCCTGATACACAAACTGTTTGGTCTATGTAGATTATTTTTCTAAATAACCTGTTTTAAATTAAATTAAGGCTTAGAATTGGCATTTGGAGGGGCGTGGCCTGCTTGATGGACAGGTGACTGTGGAGTCCCTGAACTATTCTTTCTGTATAAATATTCCTGTTTCTTTCCTCTGTGCTCACTCTGTGGGACATATATTTGCTGATACGTCCTGTTACACGCGCACCTGTGTTACCTGCACAGGTAGCTTATTTTGCTTCTCTTCCTCCTCAGACAGGCCCTGGCTGAGGTGACAGCAGCGCTGCGGGAGAAGCTGCACCGCTGGCAGCAGATCGAGTCTCTGACGGGCTTCTGTTTGGTCACCAATCCAGGCCTCGGTGCGCTAGCCACCGCCCTCAACCTGGACCCGTCCTTCCTCGGGCTGCGACCTCCGACCCCTCAGCACCTTCTCCTTTCTGATGACCTAGATGACATGGACGAGGACATCCTTTCTCCGGGGACGCTGCAGTGTAAGTCTGCTCTGTGACGTCATCACAGTAACCCTGAGTCAGTTTAACTAGCAGTTGGAAAGTCGGCTGTGATCCCGAGTTAGCTTAGTTAAGCTAACTCAGGATCGCTTTGATGGCTCTTAACCTGCTGCCTTTTGCAGATCAGCTGATCTCTACACTCAGAACAAAGATTTGGATGTTCTGATTCATACACTTTTGCTCTCTGATCATTTCATAGAATAAAATCTTAAGGTGAAGTCCTGAATTAAGAACAGTGGAACTTTCCTTCAACTCTTCTTCTTCTTCAGAGTCACATGATGCAACAAAAACACAAACCCTAAACTTCAGAGTTAATCATTACTTACCTTCTCTCAGCTCACCTGTGGTCCCCTCTCTGTCTCCGCCTCCTCCTCTGATTGGTCTTATTTTCTTGCCGTCTCTTGATTGGCTCCTTCCAGACGCAGCGTGGCAGATGGACCGGCGAGTCAGCGACCTCTGGCCCCTGAGTGGCATCGCAGACACCCAGTCAGCGTGGAAACAATCCGGTTGGCCTCACCCCTTCCTTAGCCTTCCTCTCTTCTGATTGGTTCATACCTCTGTACAAACCCAACCAATCAGCACCTAAAACACATTTAAGATCCTTTAAAGCATTTCAAAGGAAACCTGATCAGAGGAAAAATTCAGAATAATTTTTCTTCATTCCTGCAAAGTCTGAATAATCTTTTTCAATCAGACACAGAGGTATTGATCAGTCGTGCAAAGACGTTCACATGAACACAGATTCTTTTTCTTTGAAGTGCATTTTACTATAGAAAGTTTTCCTTTAATCAAGGAAGTTAGATCCTTGATGGAAATGTCAGAATATTAAACCGTTTGAGTGCGTAACACACGGGAGCTGCTGGCTGTTCCACCTGAAACTGATGTTACAATGTAACTATAGGCACGAATGTAACTATAGGCACGAATGTAACTATAGGCACGAATGTAACTATAGGGGTATGATTGTAGCTGAAATACAGTTTGTGCACGCAGCAATAAAGTTTGTTCACTCAAATTTAGCTTTTCTTCGCTCAAAATAAATTTTTCCTCAAAATGCAACACTTGCACCTGCAATTGTTTAATATGCGCTCAGAATAGTGGCACAAAAATAAGGCCTTACTAAATGGGCAACATTAATATTCAGATTTGAATCTGAATATTTTTTAACTTCTTTTAAAATCGGTAAGTTTATTACGTTTGGCACTAATGATTTTTAGTTACTGTGTCAAAATATTAAACTGGGTCAGTGTCCCTGTGAACGCCTCGTCGAGTGTTTCTCTTCTTCCTCCTCATCTTCTTCCTCCCGTGTGGTTGGACATTCAAACTTCAGTTTGTTCTTCTGCTTTTTCTCTGAAGTCCCGGAGCCCTCACTTCATTTTAATAACCTGCTTCTGCCTCTTCCTTTCACTAACATCCACTTTAATAGCAGCTGATGTTTTGTAACTCGGCTGGACTGTGACGTCAGTTCATGCAGCAAAAGCTTGAAAAACACAAAAAAAATCGCTTGTAGAAAAATAAAATGAGCTCAGGTTGAACGACAGAAGAGCTCAAAGAAGAAACGTGAAAAATGTTCTGAAAGCTGAAGAAAACACCGGATTTTATTTTGAAGGTTTGGCTGCTAAATTTCAAAATACAAGCACATTTTTCTGCCTTTTCTTTGACCCTTTTTGGTTTAAAACTGCTTTCTTCTATTTGTGAGCTGAATTTATTTTAGCTTTCCAAAATAAGAGTCTCATTTGTAACTCTACACTCTCTTTGTCCTGCAGCTCAGAGTGTGATGCCCCTGCGACAGAGGATCGGAGACCCCGCCCTGAACACTTTCAGCTCTCAGAGGTTGGTTGAAGGGCGGAGCTTGGTTCCACAGGAAGGACGTGACCCGTTCACATCGTGCCGCCCTCCCAGCGGCCGGCAGAATCGCAGCCGCTCCATTGGCCACCTGGAGTTCCCCCCTGTGCCTCCCCCTTCTCTCTCCTCCGCCCTGTCTCACCCCTCCCTCAGCCCCACCTCCTCTTCTCACCCCCCCACCTTCTCCTGCTCTCCTCCACCTTCTGACTCTTCTTCATGCGCTGAGGGCACCGCCCACTTTTCTGCTCTGTTCCTCCGTTCTTCCCATTTCCACTCTGCGGAGGCGACGTCCAGCCTCCCGCCTGGAGGGGGCGCTGTGACAAGTCAAGCGCAGCGCTGTCACTCCAGCAGCTTCCGGTATTTTTCTCTGCATGACTGTTTTCCAAACCTGATGCACTAACGAGACCGAAGCAGTCGAATCAGTGGGCCTCGCTCGGTTTGAGATAATTTATGAGACTCGCCGGTTCGAGTTCAAGTTTTAGTTTGAATTCTCAGGTGGTCAAAAGTGAAGGACATGCTGTTGTGAGCAGGCCTGCAGGTGATCTGTGGGGACGCCTAAAGGGAGCAGCTGATAGAAGAAGGGAAGGTTGTCAAAGTATATTAGAGTTTGGAATCCATCGTATTGGGAGGTTCAGGAGGAACCACATGGACGCCGTCCTGGCTGTAGAACAGTGAAGCTTCTCTTTAACCTCGTGGTTCTTCTGGCCGTGTTGCAGCTGTCTGCAAGTACAGCCTGCTTCTGTTTAGGGGACTCGGTGAAGGTGTTCAGATGTACCTCAGGTGGTGTTCAAAGCTGTGAAGTTGACATGTGACCAGATTGGAGCTTTGTCTGTATTTCTGGTCAAAAGCAGCTGCTGCTGGACCAGATGTGGTTCACTCGACTTGGTCAGAGTGTAGTCCTCAGCACCTGCTGGAGCGCTTTCTTTCAGAGTTTAAAGTATAGTAGTGCTCAGGGTCGACAGTAATTGAAAGTTGTTGAACCCTGGAAAGGTTGTTAGGCCATCCAGTCGATGTGTTTGTGGACTTGCTGAGGACTTGCGAGCTCACCTGGTGTGACCAGAGTGTCCACACCTTTGGAAAATGCTGGGGTTGCCTGTTGTATTCAGCCCTGTGACGTTTATCGACTGGAGCTCAAAGCGTAGGTCGTCCTTTTAGGAACATTAGAACCGTGTTTCTGTTTGAGAAACCAAGTTATGCTTAAGTATCTCCAGATTTTAAGTTGTCTTTTGTTTTTTCTTTTTTTTATATGGTGGAATAGTCGTCTGGGTTGGAGGAGTGTTGTTGCCCCAAGCACTGACGACAGATTGGAAGGTGGAGGTGAGGTGGACCTTTGGATTGTTTAGTCCCATCAGTTTTGTGGGAACTGGACGATGGCAAAGAGAGAACTGTGGGAGAACATGAAGCTGGTTGATCTGTGTTTCTACCCTCTGCAGCTGAAGGCTGGTCACTAGGCTCTTGATGCAAACATGGATATAATCCTTCAACAGAACCCTTTATTATTTATTACCCTTTGTTCATAGTTGCTTCAAACACTGGCCTCAAAGGTGCTGTGAGATTACTCCAGCAAGCAGTGCACCAGTTGGTGGTCTTTGGTTGTCAGGTTGCTGATTGTCTCGACTGGTGTATGTGCGCCTTTTGTTGAAGATGTTTAGAAGCTTTAACATGTTGAGTGGAGCCACTGCTCCTTTAGATGTTGGGAGTGATTCATCAGGATGTCTGTTTGGTGTCTTATTCCCAACGATCTCGGGAAAACGTTGCTGCCTTCGTGGCCCAACCTCAGATAAATGGATGAAGACTCTTAAATGTTTTGAATTTAATTTTAGGATCTTCTACGGGCGTTCTTTAGTTCTTAGAGTTAGTATCCAAGAGTTTTGAGGACTTTCTCTGAATTTGTTTCCTTTGACTCATTTCCTTCCAAACCTCAACAGTTCAGGTTGAGAGTTTAGGTAAGAAGAGATCAGGGGTGCTTAAAGAGAAAGCTCTTGATGAATGAGGCCCAATGTTTCACTGTTTCCTGCAGAGTTTCCTACTCTGTTATTAACATTTATGTTCTTTCCGGTTGTATCTTTCAGGGACTCTGTGGTTTGCTGTTTCCCTCTAACTTTGCCTTTACCTTCTACTTAACAGAAAACATCCTCATTCAAAGCTTCTGCTTTACGAACTCGTTATTTTCCTGCTCTGCAGTAATAAGTGCACGAGTCAGTCGTTTCTGTGTCGGCGCCACGTTTCCACCAGTCCGAGAACCAGTCATTACATATGAACACGTAGCAGGAGGCGGTTTCTTCTGTTCATCGTCCATGTTTCTAATAAGACTGCAGCGATTCAGACACGAGCGCACATGTTTACGGCGTCGTGCTGACAGCACAGTTACGGCAGGCGGTCACCGATGTGTCGACCATGACTGCAGCGGTCTGTGTACTCAGTTATTCCAGCCATGGCTGTCAAACTGCAGCTCAGAGGTGGATTCTGATTTTTAAAAATGGTGGCTAAGAAGCTCGAGCAGTCGACCAATCATCTGCAGCTTCACCGAGACGCTCTGTCACCAGCGTCTCGGTGAAGAGTCTCAGCAGTCGTGACGTTCACGCAAACCATCGTTTCTGATTTTCTCTTTCAGGGACATCATGAACCGCTCAGACTCTGACTCCGCCCTCCCGCAGTCTCACAGCGACCCCCGAGGTCAGCACAGCTCAAAGTCCTTCCTCCTGATGTCCAGGCTCCACCCACTGCAGGACCCGGGCTCCAGGCTGGGTATGGGAGGTGGAGGAGGAGGTCTAGAGAAGAGCTCCAGCCTCGGGGAGCTGAGGGGCATCTCTGCTTCCGTCCTCGCCTCCGCCTGCTCCACTCGCTCCCTCTGCATCACATCGGACGCTACAGACGGAACCGCCGTCTTCTCGTCGTCCACCTCTTCCAGCTCGTCAGGTAGCGCCCGGGGGGCGGGGCTCCAGGTTCCCACCAGAAAGGGCGGCACGGAGGAAGACGCCGGCGAGGATAGCGAGTCGTCCGGCAGCCGAAGGAGAAACGCTTTTAACAAGCTCTTCAAGAAGAAACATGGACGTTACTGAGCATCACGCCAGGAACCCAAACGCTTTACGCTGCCGCTGGTTTCCCTTCTTTGATCGTGTCTCTGCATGACAGCGAAGATCAGACCTTACATACCACCAAAGAAAAGACGAGGAGGAGCCGAAACAGGGACGACCAGACCAACCATCAGCCCCAGTCCAGCAAACTAACACCAACATCGGCTCCCAGAGTATTTAAATGCTGTTGTAGTGGTACTTTTACTGCAGGAACTGCATCCTGTGTAAAAAGCTGTTTGTGAGTTGATGACATTATTGTCATGTTTTCACGATGTTACCAAAGAAATATCACGGTTTTGTTTTTTCCTCTGAAAGTGCCTCAGAAGTCCAAAATCTGCTGTGAGGCAGACTGTGGTTTGTGATGAAGATGCCCCAGAGCACTGCAATGACTGAGCCTCACCTGTACGGAGGCCTGAAGCTGCCAGACTAAACAGAGTCATGTAAACAGCTCAGTGAATAGAATATTTCTGCCTTTAAATGTACCAAAAATAATAAATGTTGTGGTCTTAAAGGACATCTGCTGGTTCTCTGGGAGGGATTCAGGGCGCGTTCACACCTGCGTCTGTTCAGCCTGTTTAAATGAAGCTGGTTGTCAATTTGGAGTCATAAATGACCTTTAGAATAACTTTGAATCATTCCTGATGTAGTCTTTTATCTACTGATAACATACAAACGGGTTATTTTGTGCTAACAGCATTTATTATTTCAGATTATTTCATTTTTTCTCATTGTTGTGGAAGAACATGAAAATAGATGAGTGCAAGCACCTTTAATAATCTATTAATCCATTTATCAGTTCACTGATCTGAGGGACAGGCGAGTGTTTAACCAGCAGGGGGCAGCACAGAGCACAGAGTACAGAAGCATTAGACTTTCCAAAGGCTACGATTTACAGGTGTTCCCTAAATGCATCAAATGGCCACCAGATGATTTTGGAGGGAGAAAGTTTTCACAGGTCAAGGTTCCACCTTCAATGACGCCAGACATGTTGGTGTTCTGATTAAAGATGGCAGCATGACCGCCTTTAACAACCAGCCAATAGGAAAGCAGCTTGAAACGACGCTCTGCCCAATGGAAGTCAAATGTTTAACATTAAGGATGGAAACAGGAATCTTTGGTTTATTTGTGCTGGCAGACTGTATGATTGGTCGTCCAGCTGTTACCATGACAACACCTAGGATGATACAGAAAGGGTCCAAAACATCAGTGCGTTCACAGGAGCAAAGCCTGTGACTAGTTTCTCCATACAGGAAGTGCCTTGAAGCTGTCATCACCAACAACTCGTCAGTTCTCATCACCTCGCACGCTTTGTATTGTGAGGTAAAGACTCCACAAGAACACAGAGAAAACCCAAACAATCAGATGATGTCCCACGATTAAGCGCTGGGCGACAGTAGGAGGGGAAAACTCCAGCAGAACCAGGCTCAGGGAGGGAAGGCCCTCTGCCGGGTGGGGTGAGGGGAGGAAGACAGGACGCTGAGGAGGATGATAATGATTCAATGCAGAGAGGTGTATGTGTCGATGGTGAGAAGGCGGTGTGGGAGGAAGAGGGTGTCTTCTTCAGGGAGGTTCTAGAGAGCTGAGACGTCTTTGACGTCCTAAAAGAAGAAGTCCTCCTCCGTCATGGCGCTCTGCTGTTTCATTATTCATTCTTTTCATTACCGAGGGTTTGTAAAAGTGTGGCAGAGGGCTCCCAGCATGTCCACACCACTGACCCCAGGTTTACTGTGTTTACCACAGCGAGGCGCTCGCTAACCTTTAGTCTGATCACCAGAGTGCTGCACAGACATGTATTCACTGAGGAGGACCTCGAGTTCTTCATCAGTGCATCGGATGCAGACCAGGAGGCCGCAGGTCAGTGAACGCCTCGTGTTCTCGGGGGTTGGATTTGAAACGTCTGCGCTTTCTGTTGTAACGACGGAGGTTTTGAGGTTGAGTAACTTCTCTTTGGTCACATTTCCGCAAGCGTCTCTTTCACCTTATAAGGTCTCCTCCTTCATAAAACTTCTTCCTGTCTGCTTCACCCCTCCCCTCCAACCACGTCCTGTGTCTCAGTGCTCAAACCGCCAAAGCTGATTGGTCTGAAGATACGGTGACATGCAGTGAAAACAACACTGTAGTAAATGTGATGTTGAGGCCTTTGTTGTTTGTCCTGAACATGAAAACACGGTTTCATATGCCTGGATGGCGGCTGCAGGAGGAAACGAGTCCTCCTTGAAAAAAATTCTGTCAGAGCATCTTCCTCTCTGCTCCACCCTCAGCTTCACCACAGGCGTGGGTTTCTCTTGTGATGCAAAGAGCTCAGGCAGCACTGCTGAAACAAAAAAGGAGAAATGAGAGAAGAAATATCTGCTCGAGTGACCCAACTTCCTCTCAGAGCCGAGGAGACGTCCTGCAGCTTCCTCTGTTTACACAAAAATACAGGCTGTGGTCGACAAACTGACACAAACATGCTAAAAATATGAATAAATATCAGTCAGAGATGGAACATTATTATTGGTGTTTCTTTTCTTAAAGGCTGAAATTATTGATGAAATTCAATATTGTAAACAGTGAATTAAAAAAACCTAAACAAAACCTTAGCTCGAGAGCAGAAATGTGAGCCGTAAACAAAACGTTTGGTGACCTCACTCTGATTTCTTGAGTCCAGCACCTGCACTTTGACCCCACAGTTCGACTTTTAGCTGCCTGAGGTGAGCACATTTGGTCGAGCAGCTCCACAGACTGAACGAAGGCACCACACAGACTCAGGTACCTGCTAATCAACCTGCTCAGCAACATCCAATCAGCATCCTGTACAGAGGCGAGAGCTGCCTGCCATGTTCAACCTTTAAAGAAATAATCATGTTTACAGCCGGATACAGAAACTGGTTTGGTGTCCGTAGATAATTTCCTCCTTCATAACAACTGTTTAGATTCTGTTACAAATTCAGTCAATTTTTAAGCCTGTTTAATAGAACAAACATTTTATACTCCCAGATTAGTGTGTAATTAAATTGTCCATCAAACTGATGCAGTCTGAGCTAAGCATCCAAAAATGTTAGTGCAGCTTTGACTAACAGAAACCAATTGCAGCTAACAGCAGCTAAAAGATGGTAAGATTAGCTAACAGCAGTACTTTCCAACGGTCCAACATACATTAACTCCAGCCGTCACGCAGCATTGACAGCTGAGGTAAACAGCCTTCAACAGATAGAGAAGAACCCCGAATGTTTCTCCGGGTCCTCACGGGCCAGTTTATAATCCATATAATGGTGAAAACACACTGTAAAGGTAAAGTTTGCATTATTAGGGGCGTGGCCTTTTTGTATTAAAGGCGCATGGCGATGCAGGCAGCTGTAGCCTTTTTCTACCTGCCAATCATAAGGCAGAACCACTTGAACCCAATGTTTCCACTTCCTGCTCCTCTGTGACTCTGATAGGACCGTAATCTCCAAAGGGAGCATCAGACCTGAAGCCAGAGAGCGAGACCATAAAGTGATCCGGAGAGAGTTCACGGAGCAGAACGCTCATTTTCCAATCAACCAGAGCAGTCGCCCCCTGCTGGCGATCAGGAGTAATGCATTTTTAAAAGCTTCATCTCTGTAGTCAGATTTTATTTTTAGAAAATCCACAAAAAGAAAGTGTTAATGATGACAAAACTGCAAACAGTAATTAATGCTTAAAGACGGTTTAGCCATCAAGCTGCAGCTGTGTAATGTTCACAGAGGAAATAATTGGAACACAGTGGGTGCAGGAAGCAGTCGGAGCTGATGTGATCAGATAACCGTGTCGAGTTTCGTAGCGACTCTGTTGTGAAACAGATTTAAGTTCTTCATTTGTAAACAAAATGACTCTAACTGAGAACAGTGTTTGCGAGCAAAAGTCTTCCTTCCACTTCTGAGCGCTCAGCGGTTTCACGGGTTTAAATGTGACGATCGTGCAGACCGAGCTCAGAGACGTCAGGTTAATGAGCATGAGCTGAATTAAACCAGGTTTAATTGATGGACATGAAGCTGCAGGACGATCAGAAACAGAGCGAGGTGATGACCATGTGACAGAACATGAGCTCTCTCTCTCTCGCTCTCTCGCTCTGAAATGACTCTGCTTCTATATTTAACCTGCAGGCTGGCTCTCTCTCTCTTTCACACATACTCGACACAAGCGAGGCGGCTGAGAGACGACGAGCAGGATGGAGGTAAAACTTCTCAAACTTTGCTTTCAGCTGCTGCTGGGTTTACACGTGTGTGTGTGTGTGTGTGTGTGTGTGT